ATACTTGATCCTAGCACATTGGATTTTCAATATGATATCGATAAAAAATTGATTCGTTGAAGATTCCATCGTCTACTATAAGTAAATTAAATAATTCAAAAACATTAACTTTTATTATGTGCGGCCAACATTTTAAATAGATTAAGAACTTTCGAATTTTTTGAATTTAAAAAGGACAAAAACAAGTTCAAGCTCAAGTTCAACTTTAAAATGAATTTAAAATATACCGAGAAAAGCGAATGGTAGAGATTACTATAATATAATAGATTTTACCATAAGAATATGATAAATGATTTTTTAGCTGGAACTTCATGGTAATTTTACCATGTGGAGTAATCGAAATGACATCGCTCTATAGTAACAAATACCATGTGACGATAGTGAAGATTACTATTCGCTGCAGCAATCCTGACGAATTATTATGGATCGTTTTACCATTAAACTTGAATTGAAAATTAAATAAATTTTCACGAAAAATGTAATCTATACAAGAGTTCTTCTTGGATCTACAAATTATGAAATCAATTTGTTTTTCAATTATTATCTAGAAATAATAATATTTCATTTCTGTGTTGTTCCATTGTTTTTCTATTTTCTTAAATATTTTTTATCGTTTAGTATGTCAAATAGACCTTACTATGCTGCATAGTAATTTTCTCTATGGACCTATGGTAAGTTTCACGAGCCAAATACTGAGTCCTTCACTATATCCCATAGTGAACGTTACCATGCGAAATTGTATTCTTTACTATATCTACCGAGTCCATTACCATCGAAGGTCTTACCCTGCCCTATGGTAACCGATATTATAGCGTTACTAGAGTTATAGAAATGATTTTTTTTTGTCAATGTATGGTTTAGGTCCACCAAAAAAAAAAAATCATTGAAATATTAATTTCTCTGACGAAAATCCATTCTTATCCTCTCAGTTCCCATTAACAAGACGAAAGAAGAGAGTGAGAAATAACAAGGAGGTAAATACATCGAAAAATAATCTTGAGGTAAACTCTGTTGTCCCTGATAATTCCTTAAACCCCCCTTCCCCCTGCTGCCGCTGTTAACACGACGAGTGAGTGATATTAAATTCAATAATTTGAATTGCTATAGAAGGGCAGCGGCGGATAAATCACTCGTTGTGTTCAGTCAGCGATGGTAGATGGTCGGGTGAGGTGAATTCAGAGTTTTAGTGAAGTGTTCAGGAATATTTGAAGAAATCCATCATTCTGTGCGTCCATTGTCTATAAATGTGCCAACATGTGGTGTCTTTGGGGCCGACACACCGCCACGTCCTCGCCGTGGCCCTGGATAACGCAGAGGGCGGTGTATTAAATGTCATATCTCCCATACTAATTGTTCCCGGATAAAAAAGTGATCAGATCCTTAATTAGGTGACGGAAACCCACCCAATCACATAAAAAATACCCAGAATGGTTCGGTGGACCTAAACTAGACATTTACCCTATTTTCTCCGCGCACGACCTTGAAAATGGAATATACTGCAGTCAAGTATAAAATATACTTAAAAGAACTATTTTAATCTATTTATTGCGAGTACCCATTTTTTCACATTTTTGAATATTGAAATCCCCGGAGGAGAAATATTTCCAATAAAAATACTTACAACGAATTGACTTGCGCGTTGACAACCTTGACTGTTTCGTCATTATTTAGGGAGTAATTAGCCGTGACGCATTTACCGCCAGCTTCAAAAATCATGAAGTATCTGTATTGCTCGTACCATTTCCCCATGTACTGCAATTACGTGGAATGTCTAATCAATGCATGTTGGTGAATGCTAATTGTGTAAAAATGACTGGCAGGATAGATTTAATGTATTCGGAGAAGTGATTGTAGTGATAAATAAACATGGGCTTATCTACAAGTTATTGGCGAAAACATGGAAAAAATTTCAATAATTGCTTTCTTCGAGTGCTTGTTTGGATTTTTGAATTATTACCACTGATTCCGTGTATTGAATCATTCATAAGAAAAACGAAACGCTCGAGATAATATTTTCATAAAAATGTTATCGATGTTTTGCTATTTATTTCAGTTGTTTCTCGTAGAAGTAATTTCGAATCACCAGAATTGGTGAAAAATTACATAAATTAATTTGCCAATGCATATTTTCCTGAGCCAACAATCAAAATTTGATCATCACAATGATTAAATGGTAAAAATGCTTTCAGAATCAATAAAGCGGTGGAAATGTTCCGTTTTTCCTTCATAATTATTCAAGATCAATTTTTCTGTTTGTACGAGTCAACAAATATTTTTCAATCAATTTAGAATTACCAAGGATATCTCGAAAGGTTCTGAGTAATATTGAAGAGACATGGAATTGAAAAACATGGCAAGCAGAATAAAAAAAAGCAATTGAACTATTTTGTCGATTTGTCCTCCAAATAATGATTTTTGTCTAGAAAATTTCTCTGACTTCCTTTCTTCGATCTTTAATAATAAAATTGACTAATATCGCCTGAGATTTATCAGAAATAAAAAAATTCTCCCAAAATTTCAGTCAGAGTTCATTTGATTTGTTTCAGTCATTTTCCGTTAATCAATTTTATCGTTTTCTTTAGTAAATAGTTAATAAAAAATTGTAAAATCAAGAACTGGTAGGAAAATTCACATTTTTTGTCAATGGTAAAGAAAAATGAGGCGAAAATACAATAGGGTAATTGAAGATGTTTCAATTAACGAACTAAGTTACTAATTAATTAACTAACTTACTTTGTTAACTTACATTTTCTACATCGAATGTCGAAATGGTCTCAACATCCGGACAACCCTCGAAACCGGGGACTTGAGCAACAACAACAGAGAATAGGCCAGCGAGAGTCAAAGTAACTCCCAACATTTTGCAGTGCAGATGATTAACAACAACTAAATATTAATGCTGATTGACCGCGTGCGTTCGATACCGGTGCTGGGAAAGAACTGATGGCATAATATTGTACTGGACTTCTTTTTATTATGACTTCCTCATTATCAGAGCAACAAGTGACACAATGTTCAAAGTCAAGCCGCGCCGTTATCGTTTGAAAGAAAAAACTATCGAGCAATATTGCAATTCATTAATTGTCTGTGAATTACGAAAGAATTCCAAAAAATTCTCAGGAACATGTTGTTGGAAAATCACTCTAGCATTACGGCGCAATTGATCTACATTATCGGCAGCCCGGATAAACATTTGTAGACCAGCGCATGTAAGTAATAAATTGCGATGCAAAATAATGCAATGATAATCAAGAAAGAATTATTGGAATACAAATTTCAATTCAGGCGAATGACAGAATGTCAATTAGTATTTATTTAATTGCGGGTACAGAGCGTGCGGAAATTTAAGAAACATTTTTTTGTGGGCGCTAGTGCTGATTAACAGTTTATTTGGTCGGTCTTCAGGAGGTGATCAACGTTGAGGCCATTTCTTTTGAAGGCATCCATAGCCTTGTCAATAACATCCTGTGAAGGATTTTGCTCTCTCGTCTTAATCCAAGCTAATTGGGTGCTGTAATTGAAATTATCAATAATGAACACAAATTAGAGAGGAAATATTCCCTTCGATAGATCCAATAGCCTTTTATTTAGAGTGATATATTATTTTGTTAGGAAAAAAAATTATTTCTGGATCAAATAAATTTAGTTGGTTAATGGGTTTTTTAAATTTTATTCTGATTAACTTACTTGGCAACAAGTAAACTCTGACAACTCCAAACGGCTGCGTACGAGTCGTAATCAGTATCCAAAATCCAATAGCTGCTCTCGAATGGAGATATTGGAAATTTAACTGCTAATTTTCCTGGATCTTTGGGGTCCACGATCCTAGCGCTTCCTTCGATCTGACTCGGAAATCCTAATCTAAATCACCACATAAAATTGAACACGAGAAATAAATATACTTGATCCTAGCACATTGGATTTTCAATATGATATCGATAAAAAATTGATTCGTTGAAGATTCCATCGTCTACTATAAGTAAATTAAATAATCCAAAAACGTTAACTTTTATTATGTGCGGCCAACATTTTAAATAGGTTAAGAAATTTCGATTTTTTTGAATTTAAAAAGGACAAAAACAAGTTCGAGCTCAAGTTCAACGTTAAAATGAATTAAAAATATACCGAGAAAAGCGAATGGTAGAGATTACTATAATGTAATAGATTTTACCATAAAAATATGATAAACGATTTTTTAGCTGGAACTTCACGGTAATTTTTACCATGTGGAGTAGTCGAAATGACATCGCTCTATAGTAACTAATACCATGTGACGATAGTGAAGATTACTAATCGCTGCAGCAATCATGACGAATTATTATGGAACGCTTTACCATTGAAGATATCGAAAAAGCTCCAAAATTGTATTTCAAAACGTTGGATTTGAATTTTAATTCAAAATTAAATAAATTTTCACTAAAAATGTAATTTATATAAGAGTTCTTCGTTCAACAAATTATAAAATCCCTTAAATATCAATGATAATAAAATGATCTATAGATTAATCAAAGCAAAATTACCAATGATGCATATAATCTAGAAATAATAATATTTTATTTTCGGGTCGATCTATTATTTTTTTAATTTTAAAGTATTTTTTATCGTTTACTATATCACATAGGCCTTCTTATTATGCGTGAATACTATTACTTCCTTGTAATACCTACGACCTTGAAAATGGAATATACTACAGTCAAGTATAAAATATACTTCACACAACAATTTTAATCTATTGATTTCAAGTTCCCATTTTTTCACATTTTTGAATATTGATCTCCATAAGTCCCCGGAAAAGGCGAAATCCTATTCTAAAAGGGACACGCTTGACACAATCGATTATCTCGAAAATCTCGAAATCATGAAGCCACGATTCCTTATTGGTCCGTTTAAAATGGCGCGAGATTACAAAGTTTCCTATTCTAAAAGGGACAGGCTTAACACAATCGATTATCTCGAAAATCTCGAAATCATGAAGCCACGATTCCTTATTGGTCCGTTTAAAATGGCGCGAGATTACAAAGTTGTAACAGACTTTTGCAGAAATCGTTTCATACCCGCGCGCTGACGCGCGGTACAGATTCTCGTATTTTCAATAAAAATACTTACAGCGAATTCACTAGCGCGTTGACCATCTTGATTGTTCCGTCATTATTTAGGGTGTAATTAGCAGTGGCGCATTTCCCGCCAGCTTCAATAATCATGAAGTATCTGTATTGCTCGTACCATTTCCCCATGTACTGCAATTACGGAAAATTGATAATCAATTTATATTTATAAATGGAAATTTTGTGACAAGTGTTTTTAGTGATACATAAACATGGGCTTATCTACAAGTTATTGACAAAATATGGAGGAAATTTCAATAATTGCTTTCTTCGAGTGCTTGTTTGGATTTTTTAATTATTACCACTGATTTCGAGCATTGAATCATTCATAACAGAAACGAATGACGCGGGATAATATTTTTTTTTTAACTATTTTTGATGTTTTGATATTTATTTTAGTTGACACTCGTACAAATAATTTCGAGTCACCAGAATTGGTGAAAAAATTTTACATATATTAATTTGCCATTGCATATTTTCCTACGTCGACTATGAAAATTTGATTAATGATTGGATTGTAAAAATTCTTTCAGGATCAATAAAGCTGTTGAAATGTCCGATTTTTCCTTCGCAACTGCTTAAGATCTATTTTTTGTATTTGTACGAATCAGCAAATATTTTTTAATCAATTTACAATTACCAAGGATATCTCGAAAGGTTCTGAGTAATATTGAAGTGACATGGAATTAAAAAACATGGCAAGCAGAATAACAAAAAGCAATTGAACTATTTTGTCGATTTGTCCTCCAAATAATGAATTTTGTCTAGAAAATTTCTCTGACTTCCTTTCTTCGATCTTTAATAATAAAATTGACTAATATCGCCTGAGATTTATCAGAAATAAAAAAATTCTCCCAAAATTTCAGTCAGAGTTCATTTGATTTGTTTCCGTTATTTTCCGTTAATTAATTTTATGGTTTTCTTTAGTAAATAGTTAATAAAAAATTGTAAAATCAAGAACTGGTGGGAAAATTCACATTTTTTGTCAATGGTAAAGAAAAATGAGGCGAAAATATAATCGGGTAATTGAAGATGTTTCAATTAACGAACTAAGTTACTAATTAATTAACTAACTTACTTTGTTAACTTACATTTTCTACATCGAATGTCGAAATGGTCTCAACATCCGGACAACCCTCGAAACCGGGGACTTGAGCAACAACAACAGAGAATAGGCCAGCGAGAGTCAAAGTAACTCCCAACATTTTGCAGTGCAGATGATTAACAACAACTAAATATTAATGCTGATTGACCGCGTGCGTTCGATACCGGTGCTGGGAAAGAACTGATGGCATAATATTGTACTGGACTTCTTTTTATTATGACTTCCTCATTATCAGACCAACTAGTGACACAATGTTCAAAGTGAAGCCGCGCCGTTATCTTTCGAAAGAAAAAACTATCGAGCAATATTGCAATTCATTAATTGTCCGTGAATTACGAAAGAATTCCAAAAAACTCTCAGGAACATGTTATTGGAAAATCACTCTAGCATTACGGCGCAATTGATCTACATTATCGGCAGCCCGGATAAACATTTGCAGACCAGCGCATGCAATTAATAAATCTCGATGCAATATAATGCAATAGTATATAATAAATAATCAGACAAGGAAAGTATAAAATTCTGTATATAACACAAAATACATTAATTTATTAGATAACTCGGGCTGACAATGAAAATTCTTTTGGCCCAAGAAAATCTCGTCCTGTTGAAACAGTTCTTTCTTTCAGTATGAGCACGAAAAAAGTTCATAAAGACTCTTCAAAATCAATGGACAAAGAAATATCTTCGGGTCTCAGCCGAAGCTTTGACAATTTATCTGATCGATCTTCTTCAACCAGTCAAGGGACAAATGATTTTTCCTGAAAACGTGGAGAGCTTGCGCGATCACATCCTCTCAAATCTTAATGATTAAATTAATTTAATGACTCGTGTCGGTTTGATCCTAGTATTTGAGAAACGGATGGAGTCGTGTCCCAGGATTTTCTTTTATCACGGATTTTATCATTCGCCAAGAATATTCAACTTCCTCGATCGATAATCCACCGCCAATTGTCCATCAATACGAAAAAGTATTATTGAGTAATCGGAAACGTACTAGCGGTAAATAATTGTTAAACAATAACTCCATCATCGCACTAGCTAAATTATCAATTCCGTGAACATTCGTTGACTTGGGAAAAACCCCCGATGCGAAATTGTAAAATAGTAATAAACAAAGATAAATTGGAATGCAAATTTCCAGAGACAAGAGATAACTCTTGAGATTTTTCCTCAAAGGAAAAAAATTTTCCTTCAAAAGAAAATGGAAAAATCTGGAAAACTCAAATTTAACGTTGAAGTAATGATTGCAAATTATATTATTAATTGACTAGCTGCATTGTAATGCTAAAATTATTATAAATTAATATCGGTCCTTAAAACTTGAGAATTTTAAAAGTTCATCATATTTTCAATAAAAATCCGAATATTTTGTACTAATTTGCATTGAATTTTCAATTAATTTGACGTTCAACAATTCGTTCTGCAGAATTATTTATATTTTGATATTTCCATGAGAATAACAGAAATTTCAAAAATTTGGATAAATGTTTAAAGGAAAAATATTGCTAATAATGAATAAGCACGTGTATGATTTATTGGCGAAAATATAAGAACGATTTAACTGATAGCTTTCTTAGTACCTCATCCTTTCAAAATGGCGGCAACTGATTGCAAGTAGCTGATGTACAGACTAAGAGAGCAAAACAGTCAAGATATTTTTTATTTTTTTGTGCATCCTTATTTTGTCTTATCCAACAAATTGTTATCCATGAAAACAATTTTAGAACATGAGATTGGATAACAATGAAAAGGATTTAATGCTTTGTCAATAAAATATCGCAATAACAATTGAAAGAGTATAATTATCAATTCAATAGAAGAAGAACAATAGAATAGTTAATAAATAATTGAATGGCGACAATTAACACCTCTGGACCCCGAACATCTTTCGCAATTCATTCAATGTTACTTTATGATTAGGACAATTCTTGTGGTCGACTATCAGAAGATTTCGAATTGAGAAATTGATCTTTTCAAGGGCCTGAGCGATTTGCCGTTGATATTTCTTATTTAAAGTTGTTCTCCTCGCCCACACCCACACGAACTGCAACCTAAATAAAAATGTTCAGTTAATTATTGATTAAAGTGAAGTCCCACGGGAATTGAATTCCAACTTACGACTGATTTCCTTCCTCTTTGCAGCTGTGGAGTATCACCCAGTGGTCCCAATTAGCAGCTACGTACGTCGAATTTAATCCGGGATCCAGAGCATAATCAGGAAAAGTGAGATGGTACAAAGCAGTGGGTCTTTCCTCTCTAGGAATCATTCTCCCCTCCCAGAAAGTCCAAGTTCCTGGCCTATACGAATAATTGAAATGTAAATCCCCCCAAAAAACCGATAAAATCAGATGATACCACAATTTTGGTAAATGTCTAGTTCAGGTCCACCAAACCATTCTGGGTGTTTTTTTATTTGATTGGATGGGTTTCCGTCACCTAATTAAGGATCTGGTCACCTTTTTATTCGGAAACAATTAGTATGGGAGATATGATATTTAATACACCGCTCTCTGCGTTATCCAGGGCCACGGCGAGGACGGGGCGGTGTGTCGGCCCCAAAGACACCACATGTTGGCACATTTATAGACAATGGACACACAGAATGATGGATTTCATCAAATATTCCTGAACACTTCACTAAAACTCTGAATTCACCTCACCCGACCATCTACCATCGCTGACTGAACACAACGAGTGATTTATCCGCCGCTACCCTTCTGTAGCAATTCAAATTATTGAATTTAATATCACTCACTCGTCGTGTCAACAGCAGCAGCAGGGGGAAGGGGGGTTTAAGGAATTATCAGGGACAACAGAGTTTACCTCAGGATTATTTTTCAATGTATTTACCTCCTTGTGGTTTCTCACTCTCTTCTTTCGTCTTGTTAATGGGAACTGAGAGGATAAGAATGGATGTTTCGTCAGAGAAATTAATATTTCAATGATTATCGTTTATGGTGGACCTAAACCATACATTTACCACAATTTTTCGTCAGTCATTGATTATCACGAATTTTGCATATGTGGGAACATGCGAAGAAATGATGTCTTCCGTAAATTTAATTAATCAATTTGTCATTTTGGATAATAATCGATTATTTCTCGTTATCGATGAGAAATAAATCATAAAATCAAAGAGACAATGACGTGTGACGAGTGATATCAGGACACAATATACGAAATATTAAATATAATTGATAAATTTAAGATTGCCATTCTGAATTATGAAATCAATGATGGTTTATTAAATTCGTTATATCGATTCTGGTTTTTGATAATGATGACGAATTCTTACGTTCGAATAATGGAATTGACGCTTTCCACAATGTATCCATCATTACCCCTGTAATGTCTAATGACTCCACAAGCATGATCTTGTTCATAAAAATTATCGACTCGACCCCACTCGAACCACCTGCCAATCAACTGCAGACATAATTCAGTCATGATCATTCAAAATACACAACACATAAAAATTAAGATGTCGTATCAAATTATCTTTCACTAGATATCTCTCAACTGATAGTAGGTAGCGAATTTTTCATAAGAGCCTTTTTTGTAAGTCTTTTTTTCCTCTACAAGAAAGGTTCTCATAAAAATTCTTCTACGTCTCCTAGATTCGGAGATATTCGTGAAATAACTTCGAACTTTTATCTCCGAAATTTTATCATCTCCATTTTGCTTCATCCCTTTCTATATATTTACATTATTTACCATATTTTGTCCTCTTTACCTTGCTCTCATCAAAGTTGGAAATGGCTTTCGGCTGTGGACATGATCCCTGTTCCCTAATTTGAGCCGATGACAGGGCGAAAAAACCCAACAAGCAAGCGAGCAACATCATCACGATTATATGAAATGCACTTGAGCATTCGTAATTAATCGCCAAATTTATTAGCTTCGACGAGATCTTATCTCGAGAATACAAACATCAATCAACAGACCCGCCATATTTTGTAAACACCATTAAATATACTGAATACATATTTATACGTGCACCTGAATTTATTTATATTATTTCTTTATCATCCGTAAACTTACCGTCATGAGAATCTTCTCGCGTTTTTTTCTTTTCATCAATTTTTCGGACACTCAACCTTAATAATATAATATATATATATATATAATCTATATATAATATATATATTTATAGTATTGACCCAACAGTTAAAATCGATGATATAAAATTAAAAAAAGAGAAAGTGTTCAATTCCAAATAAAATATCTTTTATTTATTATTATGCCCAATGATTAGTAGACAATTAGGATTCTTTCCAGATCATGGGGATTAAAGATCCCTATCGACACGTTGGAGTTGGATCTAGGATTCTATGATTGGCACAATTTTTTTGATTGATTCTCCGAAGATTTCGCATCGGTAGATTGATTTGTTCCAGTGCTTCAGCGATTTGCTTTCGATATTTGCTCTTCAAGGTGGATTTCTTCGACCACACCCACACGAACTGCGACCTACAACAAAATGTCCAGTTATTAATTAAAAAATTTTGCGGAAATTTCATTCTAACTTACGACTGATTGGTTTCCTCTTTGCAGCCATGTAATATGACCCAGTGCTTCCAATTTGCAGCTACAAAAGTCGAATTTATTCCGATATCCCCTGAATACTCCGGGAATTTCATAAGATACTGTGCAGTAGGGGATTCCCCTCTAGGAATCATTTTTCCTTCCCAGAAAATCCAAGTTCCGGAGCTGTGTACATTTTTTAATGCCAGTTTTTCATCAATATCTCCGAATATAAAGGAGATGGCGATATTTTTATGAATACATTTTTGATAGATAAAAACGAGACCTACAAAAAAGGTTCTCATAAAAAAATCGTGATGTTGCGTTCCTGCCGAAATATTTGCCATCCCAATAGAATCTGTCGGATATTGATACATAATGCACATAATTTTGTACATAAATATGTAATAAATTGGTGGTATATGTTATATTCATTCGGAATATATCGATTATATCGATTATATCGGTGAATCGGTTAATATAATGGCGTGTCATTCGTGTTGAAAGGATTTGTAAAGAAAAATTCTTACGATTGAATGAGGGAATTGACTCTCTTGACAATTTCTCGGTCAGAATTTCGGTAATAAGTCGTTATTTCGCAGGACTGATCACGCTGGTACACATTCTCGATGTGAGCCCATTCGAACCATCTTCCAATCAGCTGCAGACAAAATTTATTCATAATCACTCAACAAGAGAAATAAAAAAAAAATCCTTTTACCCTTTTTTCATCAAAATTTGGGATGGGATTCGGCTGTGGACATACGCCCTGTCCCCTAATTTGGGCGGACGCATGAGCGAAGAATCCGAGTAACCAGACGACTGCCAGCATTACGATTGTTTAAAAAAACCTAAATGCCAGTGTTCTTATTTAACCGAAAAGTTTATTAGCTTTAGACGAAAGTTATTTGAAAAATAATTACAAGCCACATTTTGTAAATACAACCAAATGCACATAAAACAATAATTATTTGTGGACAGAATGAGCGAAACAATTTCTCAAGAACATAAACAATGTTTACATTTAAATAAAATATTGTTTAACGCAAGAGTCGATGTAATAAACTCTAATAAAATTTACTTTGTAGTCGTGAGAGAAGGAAAGATACAGTTTAATACCAGTAATACATAATAATTAATGAACAATTAGAATTTTATTCGATTTTTATAATTAGATACTCCAATTATCATTCAATGTGAAGTTCATTTGCACACACCAGCAGATCTGTGATTCGGACAGTTCGTCTGATTAATACCTCGAAGATTTCGCATGGGTAGATTGATCTCTTCAAGAACTCTAGAGATTTGTCTTTGGTATATCCCATCTAAATTCGGATTCTTCACCCACACCCACGCGAATTGCAGCCTAAATAAAAATATTCAATTGTTTATCGATTCAATAAAACCTGAGAGCTGCAGTTCAACTTACGACTGATTTCCCTGCTGTTTGCAGCCATGTAATATGACCCAGTGGTCCCAATTCGCAGCTACATATGTAGAAATTAGTCCTGTCTCCAATGACCAATCAGGGAATACCATATGGTACCGAGCAGTAGGTGTTGACTCCCTAGGAACCATTTTTCCCTCCCAGAAAAGCCTAGTTCCTGGACTGCAATTATTCATAAATGAATTTGCAAAATAATTATCCCAATGAATTGTTTCTATTCTTCAGATCTAGTGATTTCCTCCGATGGAATTACCAGACCATGTGAAGATCTTAATAATGAAGAATCCATTGGTATGTAAATTCATAATTACGAGACCTACTGCGCATGCCGTGCGCCGAATTTGAATTTGGCGGTTCGACTCGACCAATGAGGAATTAGTCCTTCGCGTTTCGAGATATTTCGACTCGGGGGAACTTCGTCTTTGTGTTTCTACTTTCATGATAAGGATTGGATTATATGACTTATTATTGAGAATATTTTACTCATTAAGATTATTGGTACAAAAAGGAATCGGAGTGGAGAGAGCCGGAGTGTTAATATAAACATAAACAATTACTTCATAGGAAGAATGAACTGAGAGTTCTTTGTTAATAGATGATAATATTCATTTGGTCTTTGTGACCGATATTTAATCTGCTCCAGCAGTCTGTAGAGTACAGACGTCATTTCCTCGTGTAATAATAATAATAAAATTAAAGTAAAGTTCAATTCACTGCGTTTTTCTTATAATTATTTCTTGATCCATTTCCATTAATAATTTATATAAAAAGAAATCTTACAATCGCAGGATGGAGCTCATCGCCTTGATCAGGACTCCATCATTATTTCTGTAATAAGTTGTTAATCCACAGACATGATCGGGTTGATATGCATTATCGATGCGAGCCCATTCGAACCACTGGCCAATAAGCTGCAGAAGGAATTTGTTTATTTACAATGAAGCTGATAAATTTTAATAGTTTACCTTAGTCTCATTAAAGTTGGGAATTGATTTCGGCTGGGGACATGAGCCCTGTCTCCTGATTTGGGCAGAAGACTGAGCAAACAATCCCAACAAACAGACGATCAGCAGCATCACCATTTTATGAAGCTAAATGAACGAGAGCTTTCTTATTTAAACCGTAATTTCATTTACTCATATCGAAAAAATAATACGGCAATGTGAGGTGAAATTGTATGGAGAAGACAATATTGGATTAACGCGCGACATATTTTGTAAACAGAATGAGAATGGAATAATATTTATTAGTAAACGGGAGAAAAAGGACAGCAATGGCGCGATTGTTTTTCGTAATTGAATAAAGATTTTGGACGCCAATCGATTCATATCGACTCAAATCGACTAATATCGACTCGTATCGGCTCATATCGATTAAAATCGACTCATAAACGCCAATCGACTCCAATCGATTCTAATCGACTCGTGAACGTCAATCGATTCATATCGACTTGTATCGGCTCATATCGATTAAAATCGATTCATAAACGCCAATCGACTCATGTCGACTCATCGACGCCAACCGATTCATATCGACTCTATCGACCACTATCGACTAAAATCGTCTCGTATCGAATAAAATCGACTTTTGAACGTCAATCGACTCATACCGACGTTTAAATTAAGTAGTTTGTTTTCTAATTCAGCGATTATCTTTCATTTGATAATTAATCACGGAAAATAAAACTCGAAATCCTTTTAATCATAAGCATTTATTAATTAAACAAGCGGTCATAGTGAAACGGAATATTCCAATAAAAAATTATTTCATACAGAGTTTTCATTTTTTTTCAATTCTGTTTTCATGTTGTCGAAAATTCGTGAAAATAAATACATGATTTGATGAACGTTTGGAATTCCAGTAGATGCTATGACGTGAAAACAATAGAATTCCTCTCGTCGAAGTCAATTAATTACAGAATATAAAATATTCAGCGATAAAAACACTGACATCATTTTGTTTTGATAAAGTTCACGATGAAAAAACTAATGAAAAATTGAAAAGTTGTCGAGAAAAAAATGAAATTGAATTCGGAACATCCGATCATTGAATTTTACTGGAAACATCCTGATAATGGATCAGATGTCTTCAGATAGGGGCAATTGTTTTGATCAACAATGTAAATGTCGTGCATATTTAAATTCAATTGTTTAAGGTAATTAGCTACTTCGTCCTGATATTGTTGCTCCAATGTAGTGTTCTTCGACCAAATCCACACGAATTCCACGCTGAAAGCGGAAAAGTCATTTGAAAATGCAATTAATTTATGAATTCCTCGAATCTACTTACGCCTGATCATTCTCTTGCTTGCAGGTATGCAGTATTGCCCAGTGGTCAGCATTTGCAGCGATAAATGTCGCCTGAAGGGATTTGTCCTGCGAATATTCAGGGAATTTCAAGTCGTACGTTGCAGTTGGTTGTGATCCTTTAGGGACTAGTCGACCTTCCCAGAAAATCCAAGTGCCTGATCTATTGAATAAATAAAAAACGAAATTAGAGAACAAACAAAAATAAAAATTTACGTTGGCCAGAATTTTTGAAAAAAAAGCACCACCAAATTGTTTATGCTAACGAAATTATTTAAATATTTTTGTTATTTATTTCGTATTAGTTTCATGTAGAAGTTAAAGATATTATATCATAATTGATAATATTATATTAATGACTAAATATATAATTATTCACTGATTATTTTGGAATTCAAAGTTTTAGTGAATATTCTCGGAAAAATTAATCTTCAAAGCGATATCCTTTTTTTATGTAAAAAACGGGACGATTCTTTGGATTTTAAATGAAATCTCGACAGAACAATTTGAAGAAAACTTAGAGCAAAATTAATCCAGGAAATTGGTGAAAAAAAATATCAGTCATTTTAATTATAAAAAATTATAAATTGAATTCACTTTAATAATAAAATTGAATACTCAGGGGCAGTTGTAATGGAAAATTAAACCGATTTTTAAACAATTCTGAAGTAAATTTCATACCGACGGATGATAGAGATGGCACGTTCGACTAGATTTCCATCTTTACCCCTGTAGTATGATATGAGTCCACAGGCAGCATCAGGCTCATAGTAACTTGGAATACGACCCCATTCATACCAATCGCCAACCAACTAAAAATTGTTATTATTCTCGTGAATTTTTAAATTTTTCCCAATTTTTCTTTTTTTCGATATCGATTTATTTTTATTATTTAATTAATTAATTTTTATTAATATCTTATTACATATACGGGACGTGCATTAAATATTCTTCCATTCTCGATTTTTAACAATTATCTATGTTTAAACAAACGGTTGACTGGTGGACTTATGGATTTTTATAATTTTTTATTTTTACCGCAATTAATTTTCAATAAATATTTTGTTTAAGTAATAGCCATAGAAAATTATTATATTGTATTTGAGTTTATCAATAAATATTATATTGTTAATATTGTCAACATAATAATCTTCTTAATAATGTTAATAAAAAAAAATTTGGTCAGTCGTCATTTAATTTTTGATGTTCTGCATTCACTTCAATAGTAAATTTTCAAAATTCCAACAAAATTTTATATTTTCCACTATATTTACAGTAATATTCATTTTTTCCATAACAGGCCATGTTAATTGAAAACTATAATAATTAATAATAACAAAACGGTGTTGTGGATTAATTTCGAATTTTATACAGGCATTTATTATTGCTTCAAAAACTTGTCAAAATTTCAAACAATTTTTATATTTTATATCTTCGGCAATACCTGGAAAACGACGTTAATTGCTACTACACCAATTTATATAAATACATATATATAAAAATTAAAAAAAATATATAATATATAATACATAGATAAAAACTCAATTTAATTAGACTCTTAATAATTATTACTGAATTTACCTTGTTCTCATCGAAATTGGGTATGGGTTTGGGTTGAGGACACATCCCCCGACTTGTTCTCTGCCCTAAAGACTGGGCGAAAATTGCGAACAAAAATAAAAACACGAGCATATCGAATTCAAAAAATGGCAAATATAATGATTTCAATTTTTCAAGTGCTCTACTGCAGAAGGCAATCCGCGATTATTAACTGGTTATCCTTGTACAGTATATATACGGCTTGAACCAGTCATTTAAATTTTAAAAATCAAGAGCTAAAAATTTGGAATTCAAAAAATTTGAATTGATATGATTCAAATCCGATAAATTTTAGATATCTAGAACATAAAAGTTGACATTGTAATATAATAGCTTGTGATGAGTCGTCGGTGATGCATGAATGTAAATTTTATGAATCTGTTGACCGAATTGAAGACATGATCTCACGGAAAATAAAATTTTGTTTTTTTTCGGAAGACCCAGAAGGGAAAATGCCATCGGGGTTAATAATAACACAGATTTTTAATTATTATTCAAAACTATGCAAATATTAAATTTCAATGTTCACCTCGTAATACATCGATATGGAAATTATGGAAATTATTACCGATCAATTATGGCGATTTTTTTTTCCTCTGATTGTATAGAAAATCCAAATGACAAAAACTGGTGATTTTGTAAAAAAAACTGAGCCAAGTAAAAGTTTTGCTCAATTGATTCCGTAAAAAATTCATATTTTGCGAAAATATGGCGTCCCTAGAAATTAAAAAAAACTCGGAAAATGTAAATGAAAACGCCAAGAAAAGTGATACGACTCGATTGAAAGGATTCAATAATGAAAATAAAAAAATCAGTAGAGGCAGGATCAACTTACTTGGCGCGGTTTTTTCCAAGAGCTAGAGTTAGAGACAAAGATTATCTTCGGTCACTTTTAATAATTAATGAATTTTCATTTTAGCATTATCCTGTAAATAAAACCGCGCCAGTAAATAAAACCGCGTCCGAGTTTTTTTTTTATTTCTAGGAACGCCATATTTTGGCAAAACACGGGCTTTTTACGAAATCAATTGCACGAAACTTTTAATTGGTTCAGTTTTTTTTACACAAACACCAGCCGTATTTGTTGGATAGAGACGAGACTTTTACTTGGCCTATACGCTACCGCGTATCTCGATAAAAAATCCCGTGATTGTATAGATTCTTCAATAATTCAATTCGTCACCTTTTTGTTTTTAATATACGTTTTTTGATAATTTTTGCGTAAAAAAATTTTCTCCGTATGTAATTTCCTATTTCCTATATGACATCGTCTTACATGATCAGTTAAGATTAATTCTTTCTCTGACTTCTGATTTCCCGAGTGAAATGAGACATTTTGTTGTAATATTCTTTTATTTATCGAGACAAAAAATTGAATAACAGAGTGAAATGGGATGAGTATTAAATAAATAAGTACATGAAAATATTTATCTATCACAAGATGCACTAGTTGCGTTTAGTTGGACAATTCTTCTGGTCTGTTCTGTAAAAAAATGCTCGGCTGATGTGATTTTTGTCGAGGATCTGATAGGCTTTTTCCACCACTGGCACCGGGGGTTGGCGATCTCTAGTCAGTACCCAAGCACTTTTCATACTGGAAAGATTCAAAAACAATTATTCAAGATGTTCTATAAAAAAATGACTCCTTTCAATCAATCAATCACTTCATCCCAAAACGTCAATTATTTACATTCCACGAGAGACCGGGTATGAACCGATTTCTGTAAGAGAGTTACGATTTTGAAATCTCGCGCCTTGAGGCGGACCAATAAGAAATCGTGGCTTCATGGTTTCGAGATTTTCGAGATAATCGATTGTGTCAAGCGTGCCCTTTTTAGAATAGGATAATTCATATTGTCATAAAATATGAAGTCGTCATATAAGATCTCATTCACTCGAGTCTGTTTAGGCTAAACGAGAAAACATAAACATCATAGCCCATACTTCTCAGAATTCCGTCCAATAAAAATGGTCGTCACTATTGAATACAAATATAGAGTGAAAAATATAAGATTTAATTTTTGCCTGGTATTATTTCAAACAGAACCTGTGATAAGTGGAAAGTTTTACCTGAAAACTCCCATATTTGTGCAACTCCAGAGAACTGCATACGAATCATAATCTGTCCCGAGAACCCATTGAGGTGTTGGGTACTGAATTGGAAGTGATGGATAGGCTACCGTGAGTTTTGGATCATCAGCTCGACCAATTGGACGAGCAATTCCTTCAAGGGTCGACTCAATTCCTGTCCTATTAAAAATAAATAAAATCATTTGACCTTCGGCTCGGTTGGTAAACCTCACTCGTGAAGAAGAAAACTGACCGCCCATATCATTCCTATCAATCCGTCAAATACACGAAGAGAAATTTCCATAAAAAATTCGAACGAGAATCGAATGAAAATTTTCTTGTTAAACGATAATTGCGTAATGTCTATTTATTAAGAACAAATATTAAAAATTAGTTAAAAATAATAATCACACCATAACAATAAAATAAAAACAATCCGTAAACTAAGAAAAGTGAAAATGATACAAAAACAATGACTATCATAAATTGAAATACTTTCCATATTTTAGAATGTGGAAAGTCCAAAAGAAAAGTATTAAATAAAACGAAATCGTAATTTTCCACTCGTATAATAACGCAGGCGTCTAGTGATATAAATATAAATTTTCTAGTCATATAAATTGAATTCTCTCGTTTCAAGTGTTTCAACCGCGGTTATAGAAATTTTCATTCGATAAATTACGGTACCAAAAGGAAAACTTACAAAACCGAAGTCTGAGATGTAACAATCCTCAAAGATCCATTATCCCCTGTGGAGTAATTAAATATTCCACACTTGGCCCCGATCTCAAAGATGGAAAAGTACCTCTCGGCTTCATACCACTTCCCCATGAACTGCGAACAAAACAATGACTGAATGACAATTTCCAAAACATCAATAGCATAATTTATTCTAGGTGTCATTCGGTCCAACTTTCCAATGTTGCTTTTCACGTTAATTAAAATGACTGACACGTCCGCTAAAAATGACCCCGACCGCCATTGAACTTGTCATTGAAGTGCACGTGACCTCGAAAATACAAAATCATTCGACTTACCGCAGTCATGTTGAGACGTTCGATGGTTTCCACTTCCGGACAAATTCCAAATGTCGGTAATAACGCCAGGGAACTCCCCATGAAGGACAATATAACAATAATCCGCAACATCTTGCGTAATTGAGTTTCTGGAATTGATCAAATCGATAGTAATTCACATCCGAAACAAAAATTTCCCCCATTTTGCAATTGTTTTGATAATTATTAAACTTTACTCTAGATTATTCAAATGCTTTCCAACATTTTCTCAACTGAATTCGCAGAACGAAAAACCAAAAAGATCATGCAGACTTTAAATAGAATTTGTAATGTTCACTGAGGAATGGAGAAAAAAATTCCAATGAAATGGTGAAAAGTCCTGGATTATCGTAAAACGAATCACTCACTCAAATCACGTGAAACGCTTGACCTTCCCTGACCTTGACCCCCAAAACAACAATCACGAACAATTGAACGGTGACAGCAGAGAACTGCAAACGTGCCTCACCCAGTGCACATCGTCCACTGGCCTTCGAAGCAAGAATTTCAGTCAGTGCTGGAGAGGTTTTATCAGTTAGTGGGTCAGTAACGGTAAATCAAAAAGGTTGAAGAAACGAATTCATCGACAGCCAATGGCAGCACAAGGAGCAACAGCTTCTGCCAATCCTTGAAAAATCTCCACCTGACCATCGCCATAAAACAAAATTGCACGTGCATTGAATTCTCCACTCCCATCAGTCATCCTGACAAGACAAATTTTCTCTCAATCTTCTTTAGCGAGTTCACTCCTCAGCGAATTCTCATTCCTCATGACTGCCGCCTCATCGTTTCTCTGGACAATCCCTCGGGTCAATCAATTAATAACCGGTTTTTCGAGTGAAGTCAATAAACGGGTCTGAGGTCTCAAGGAAATGATGAAAATAACAGAATTTCGATTAAAGTAAAAAACATTTTTATGTAACAATTTATTCACATTCCATGCGATCACTTTTTGTACAGCAATTTTTCGTTGTCTTCTCATCCGTCATTTTGTTTTGTTTCCTCTTTTTTTCATTCAGTCTACCACAGCTACGCTTAATCTACCAATAATAACCTTCATGTTGAAAGATCCGGCGGGACTGGATGGGTCTTCTCCATCCGCTCCAAACCTGAACCTCTGGACAATCATTAATCGCGGAGTCATGACTTGGCTTCTATAATTTTCTGTGGCTCTTTGGGGAGTTCAGTGGATTGATCAGCAGCCTGAAGATTCTCAGGTTCGCTGAGAACAGGTTCGGCGTTCTGGGCCTGCTCTACAGGCTCCGGTTGATTGACAGGCTGTTTGACAGGCTGTTTGACAGGCTGTTCTTTGGCTGGGGTTGACTCCTTGATTTCAGCAGTCTTCAGAATTACCTCTGGCACAGTTTCAGGCTTACTCTCCTCCTTGACGACTTCAGTGAGCACAGGCTCTTCCTTGATGGTCTCAGCCTTCAGGTGCTCCGCTGGTTCCTTCACCACTTCAAGCTTGGATTCCTTCGCCTGCTCAGCAAGCTCAGCCTTTCTGGTCTGAATGATGATCTCTGGAGCGTCAGGGATGATCGCCGAACGAAGGTTCTCACCCTCGCTCACTTCCTCGACATGATCAGCCTGATTCTGCTCTTCAATCGTGGTTTCGACTGGTGGAGGCGAGTCCAAGTACGCGCAGTCGTTCTGGTCGGTCTTCACGAAGAACGTCTTGGAGATCTTGTATTTGTCCAGAACACCGTAAGCCTGAAATGACAGCAGAACGGACATTATACCAACATCTTGTCATCAATCTATCAGTCGAAATGAATCAGATCGCTCACCTTCTGAAGGATTTCTCCTACAGGTCGACGCTGCCTAGTCATCAACCAGGCGTTTTGGGCGTTGACTGGTCCGATTCCTGTGCAGCTCCACAAAACTGCGTAGTTCTTATAATCAGTCTCCAAAACAGCGTAAGAAGTCTCTGGTGTCAATGGAACAGTCGTGTACTTGACGTGGAGCTTTCCCTCCTCAGCTTTTGATGCCGATGGCTTTATCTCACCTTCCAAGACACGTTTGATGCCAGTGCTGTGATGATATGGACGTTAAATAAACGGTTTCAAGGTAATGAGGTTCGATTACTTACAATCTGTTGGTGACTTCGTTGCTGACACGTAATTTACCGTCATTTCCTCTCGTGTAATTAGCCATTACGCAACGGGACACCACCTCCGATAGCTGGAAGTACCTTTCTGCCTCGTACCACACACCTAAGAACTAAATTTCAAAACAAAATGGTCACGGTTTAAAGCAACAAAATGGCCGCAGCCGAATTCTTCAAAAGGGATTCCCATGATTCCCATAAATTAAGAAATATTAATGGAGAAAATGTGAGTGAATATATTTAATTAGATATGTATTGTCTTGTAAATGGGAAACGTTTATTAATTATAAGACGCGAAAATTTGATTAGAAAATAAATTTGTGAAATGGACAAGTTCCTTTGACTAAACTGAAATTATCGATGAATATCTTGTAAATGAGGAGAGATACGTAAATTTTTATATAAATCTTATTTGTAGTTTATATATTCTTCTATGAAAGAGCTATTCACGAAAATTTCTGTATCTCTCATGATTAACGACATATCCATCGATAATTAATCATGAATTCATAAACTGAAAAAATCATAAATTTAATGAATACTAATTAATTTGTTATCCGATTTATACTTCCAGGCAAAACGGGGAATCCCTTTATTCCCAAAATCATCAATTAGTGTTTTTGTAAAAAAATGAAGGTTTGGATTGAAAAATTTGTTTTTTTGAATGAAGGGAAAATGATGATTGATGTTGATTGGACAAATTGGACTGACATACCTTGGCGATATCGAAGTTGGCCATGGGCACGTACTCGGGACACCATCCTAGACTGGGTACTTGTGCCCCAGCCAATGCCAGGGCTGAAAGAACGAGTAGGAATTGCTTCAACATTTCTCGCGTTTCTGTCGTAAGGATCGTGCTTGCCACTGGCTTTTATACATTAACCGAGACTTGAGGTGCGTTGACCGGACACTTGTTCCTCTTTCTCCCCCCGTGACGCCCAAAGGCACCCCCTACCCCTCTCTGAGGGACCGGGCACATGGGGTCCCAATGTATTCTCCTCCGATACATTACGGTACCGGTCTCTGGGATTAATGCCACCTTGAATCTGCTGAGAGTCGCATGATATTTGTCCTGGATCTCCAGGACATCATGTACGTAAAAAATCTCCAAAAAACTCCAGGCCATAAATATTTATACATATTTGTTATCTCTGTTCCTCTCCAGAATCTTACGATGGATTTTACGATTTAGGTTAAGATTTTAGGTTAGTCTTTGTGGCTAGTCTTTAGTCTCTTGGAGATATTGATAGAGTTCAGACGGTATTCTTCCTCGTGCAATTTTAATAAAGAAATAGTGATTAGAGTTGATTAATTGTGTTTTAATTAATTTAACTATCCGATTTCCAATAGTCTTTCATCTTTCTGCAATATTTCCTTAGAAGGTACTCCTCCATATGCTCAGGTGTAAACATTCCTTTTATCTTGAATAATTTCATTGTTTATAATTATTTCAAATGTTAATGATCTTTATTGATCATTCAAGATCATTTGTTGAATAAAAAAAAATCAAAATTTCATTCTTCGAGATAATTTCCATGCTTGAAATGAAAGAGGGAGTACCTGAGAATGACTCGTCTGGATAAATATCTTCTAAAACATAATATCAGAAAAATATCCGGAATATTATATTTTTTATTAAATAGTTCTCCGTGATATTGTCAATTAATCATTTCTCCGTTGCGCGGATCATTCAGTGTACCGTACAATGACCCACGTCAATTCTTCATTTCTTCCTTTCATTCTATCTTCCATGTGATTCCAGACGAAATTATCATAGTGTGAAGGTCACGGCTTTGGACTAATGGAGGATATCGGATTAACGGTAATTAAATCATTTCGATAGTTACGAGAGAATTAGGAATTCGCTGGGCTTTGTCATATTATAATATAAATAAAAAATTGTATTTTATATAAATAAAGAATTATATTATATATAAATAAAGAATTTGACCAAATGAGTATTACCCAAAATATCTGTCATGACTTACATCCATTTGCTTTAATTGTTTAAGTTGTTTTGAATTATTGCATATGATGTGAATTATTATTAAAGTGTCTGTATCCTAAAATTCATATCGAAATCGAAATGTATCGAACACTTTCATTAGCACAAATGAATAAAAAAAAATTATGTAATAAATCTAGTGTAACACGATCCACATAATTATCACAATTACAGTCGTCTGGAGGCAATTTAATTCGGTGGTTTAATGAATAACCATTTTGGATGGATTTTTGAGAATATCTTTTCCTTCTCAGTACTTGAATAGCTTTGAGCATCTCTAAAAAAAGAATTCCGAGTGGATCCTCATGAGGGCTCGTTTACTTTGTCTGGCAATGGCAGAGAACAGTATGTTTACTTCGGCATGGTTATTTCCCTCATATTCTTCAAGGTGAAGACAGCAAAAAGGGAAGCCAACTAATAAATAAAAGTAACAAACCTTGTCCTCGTCGTTCTGCTGTGAGTATATTGAACTCCTGTGGTCAAAGCCCCCAGCAGCCATCAGGTTTTGTGTTTATGAGTGTGAGTAAAATTATGGACTACTGTAGCTACCTTCTTTCAATATTCACCTGGTTATTGCGAATTCCTGGGTTGCTTCGTTATTTCGGATTCATTATTTTCCGTTTTCAGGATGTTCTCTCCTTATGGGGAATTTTCTGCTTTTTATTCTACTACAGGTGGTCTCTCCAAATTCATGGACAAAATTTAATTTTTCTGAATTTCATTAGTTTTCATTAATGTTTCATTTTTATGTGAGTTTATTTATATCTTTTTATTTCATTTTTACTTCTTATTTTATTTTTATTTTGAATTTTTCTTATTTTGAGTTTAATTTTTTTTATTTTGATTTTTTTTTATTTTGATTTCGATTTCATTTTTATGTTTATTTCTATTTTTATTTTTATTTTGAATTCTATTTTGATTTTGATTTTTATTTTCATGTTCATTCGTTTTTTGTCAGTTGTTTCCATCAGAAACTTTCAGAGAATGATCAGACGAAATTTAATACCCTTATACTTAAAAAAAAATTCTCTTATCAACTACTTTTGTGGTGCTACTACATGAGTTTCCATTTCGTTTTTCAACGATAGATAAATTATTTTGATTTCGATTTCATTTTTATGTTTATTTCTATTTTTATTTTTATTTTGAATTCTATTTTGATTTTGATTTTTATTTTCATGTTCATTCGTTTTTTGTCAGTTGTTTCCATCAGAAACTTTCAGAGAACGATCGGACGAAATTTAATACCCTTATACTTAAAAAAAATTTCTCTTATCAACTATTTTTGTGGTGCTACTACATGAGTTTCCATTTCGTTTTTCAACGTCAGATATATAAGAATCCGAATTCAAACATTCAGATTCAGACTCTGAGCTAGAATCACCGAGATTATAAAATGAAAAGACCGAAAGAAAAAGGAACCCCTTATACATATAATATCGAATAAACCGGCTTCAAAAAACGTAACATTGGATTTTTTTTTAAGAAATTAAAATGGCGAAAATTCTTGATGATTTTTTTGGTCTCGATCGGGAGAAAGAAGTCGTTCAAATGGAAGAGATTCTCTAGTCCCAAACGAAATTATAATTATGAGACACAAGTCCTCCATAAATTCACCTAATTCCCATCCAGCAACTATTATATTATGAGAATTACAAATTATATTCCCTTATTCCATTACTCATAATTTCCAACTGACAAATCGGTATTTTGACTGCACGATGACTCATCAATTCAAGTCCATAGAAGATTGATCTTAATTATTTTATTCTCCAGATAGAAAAATTCCAGATGCAGTGATTAATTTCTAGGTCCAGAGCATTCGGATATATTCGCGGAACAATCGAATGCCATTTTTAAAAAACATTTTCTCTCAGTGCGAGAACGAACTGATCCATCAGATATTCATATTCATTAAATAAACAAAATCTTATTGAGACATAATTTTCCTTCTGCATGTGAATTAGGAGAACAATTATTTTGTGCAATCGACTGTTGTTCATTGATTTATCTCCTCTTGTTGGTGATGCGACTGGTGTTCCAGGAGTTCTGGAAATAGAAGGGGGGGCATTTGCAAAAGCAAATAAACTCGATGTTGTTTTACCATTGAGTTGTGCAGGAAATTACCATGTGGAATATAGTGGGACATCAATTATTTATCGGAAAGAATCGTTTCTAGCATAGAGAAGGGTTCCGTGTACTTGCACCATGCATTGTACTCTGGAGTCAAGCCATAACGGGTCTTTCTCAATACCATTTTTATCTTCTGGTGTTTTTATTTTCTCCTCTATTTTCTCTCGGTGTAAAAATTTTAACTGTTAAATTTATGAGACGGGAGACAGGCCAACGTCTCAATAGCGTGTTCACGCGTTAAATTATCATTACCGATAGATAATGCGATAATCTGAGTAATTGGATGTGTAATTATGTGGAAGGATGCAGACTCCAGGCACTCATGGCTGTGATTAATTTATCATGTAACACTTGCCGATAATTCATGAGAATTAGAAGAATTTACGGGTGTGAATTAATGACATGGGTAAAGTGTTGCTAATCAGTATTCCAGGCTTTCCTCACTAGTTTCTTTTTTTTTACTCACTCAATTTATTTTCTTTTTTGTACCATTTTCTTCCTTTTGTTTAAGTCCATTGAACACTAAGAAAGCACGTGCTGACATTTTTTATTAAGTATCTTAACTATTTCCTCTCGGTCAGGATTTCAATGAGATAATTCAAAAGGATTTTCCGGTTTTTTAATTCTTATTCACTCACTTCCATCAGACGAGTGAAGCATTTTTATTAATGATACCCACCTTCGGTTTTATTTTTTATTTACCCTCTTATTCAATTATTTATGAAGTGATTGTACTGGTGCTCTTTATTATTTATGATGAAAATATCATTTTCAATATCCCGAATTGTTTATCTGATAAACATTACACGACAAATAGAATAAAGATATTATTAAAATTATTTAATTTCTCGATTGTGAATAATTTTCTTCTTTTCTCAAATATACATAACCCACTCCACCTCTATAAATAAATACCTTACTAATTCATCCATTAGTTAATTAATTTCCCACTTGTTTTTATTCATGATGTTTCATAATGCGACATTTTTATGTTTTTTTATCGCATAATATTATATATTTATAATATTTAAGAGTGTACCTAAGCCCTTCCTTCTCTTTTAATTCCTTTATCATCATTATCACATTATTTAATTGCAATAATTATGGGGGTGGAGGG